TGTGCTGCATATCTCCTTCAGGATCCTGGAGATGAAGTTTTGGCCCTGGTCCACGAGAATCTCCCAGAGGACCCAACCCAAGTGATCCATTTCATAAGGATGCTGGCTATCGTGGGAGCCATCACTGAACACAGGGGAACAGCTTCAGGGAACCGGGTGGTGTAATCGATGATTACCAGGATGAACTGGCAACCTGTCCAGCTGCAGGGAAATGGTCCCGCCATGTCCATGACAATTCTGATGAATGGCTGCCCTGCCAATGGCCGTGGCATCAGCGGGATCTTGGCGGGTTTTAACTCCCCTGTCTTTTGGCATTTGGGGCATTCCACACAGAATCTCTCCACCATTTTGTAGAGGCCAGGCTAAAAAACCTGCCACTTCAACCGGGTTTCTGTCTTGTCCCGCCCCAGGTGCCCTCCCATTGCGAGAGTATTGCCTATCCATAGCAAATTGCCCCAGTATTTTTGCAGGGCTAAGACCTGACATTTCTTGTACCACTCCTACTTTTCCTCCACCTGGTATAGAATACCGGTCCTTACCTCAAAGCGGGGACTCAGCTTCGCTTTCTCAGGATCTAACACCACACCTTCTTGCCTGGCCAGCTGAGTCTGCCAGATGTTCCTGAAGAGAGGCTCATGCTTCTGCTCGTCCCGGAAGTACTTGCTGCTAATGATCTGTTCTAGGTCCAGGTCTCCTCCATCTTCTTCCTTGGGGGCTCCGAGACATGTGGCCTCTGGGTCACTTTGCCGCTCCCCACCACATCTTCTCAAGACCAGCATGACCACTTCCTTCATGTGTGGTCAGTCAACTCCCAGGAGCTTGGGGCAGGGAAGGGTCTCTGCCAGCTCCACCGTGATCTCTTCCATGCAGTCCATCACGGATAGCCATAGCCACTTCCTCTCGTAGGTATACAAGGCCCTGTGGATACAGACCATACTCATGGGCGATTTGGGACTCCCTAGCTGTGGGGGTACCAGGTCCGTCCTTATCATGGACTGGGAGCAGCTGGTGTCGATGACTGCAGGAATGATGGTGTCTCCCACTCAAACCTTGACTGGCTTATTCTGTCGCCTTGGCTCCTTGTGCTACCCAAAACTGCAGTCCATCTTTTCATCATGAGGACTCTTGGTCGTTAGCTCAGCTCGAGGGCGGTGTGGGCAGAATTGGGATACATGCCACTTTTATCCGCATCTATAGCATGCTGTGTCCCTGGCATCCCAGCCTCAGGGTTCCCAGTCTGTGGGCTGGACCATGTTTCCCCTTTTCCCTTTGTTGGGGCCTTCTGGATGCTATCCCTGTGCAGGGCCAATGCGGAGGGGGCCTAAGCGCACCACCCAGCTGCTCAGCTCCCACTTACAAGCAGCTGCCATCCTCTTGAAAGCTTCTTAATATGCCTCCACATCATCCTGGGGTGTCATACTGGGGACCTGAGAGCCTTCACTGTCCCTCCCCAGGGATGCCTGTTGGGCTTCTATTTTTTTGCATAGATCCTGCTGCTGGGCAAACAGTCAGATCTTTGCCTCTGCTTCTTGTGTCCGCACCCGGACCATCTCTTCTAGTTGAGCCTGTTGGCCCTGTAGCAATCACAGAGTAGTATTAGGAGCCTGCTGCCAGTCAGTTGGGGTCTAGATGTCCATAGATTCCATGGTTCTCCATGCAGCTTGGGGGATTTCCCGGTCAATGCACCACTTTGGGAGCGGGTGTCAGTTACCCTCCCCTCCTCTCTTCGGGACTTGTCTGCCATGACTAAGGAGATGAAAAGATAATAAGATGTTTATCCCTGAAGGGGAGGGTGATAAGTAATGAGCCACCCAGGCGACAGTTTCACCAAGTGCCGGCCTTTATTGGTGCTTGATACACAGTAAATAACTGTGCTAATTACCCTATTAGCATGGAAGCGGCTGTTCCGCCGCTTGGCTGATTGCCGTTTCTCTGATCTTCTCCCAATCACGGTGGTTTCCCGGCCATCCTGATCGGGGAATGCAATTGTCTCTGGGGTTTTTCCTGGAGCCATGTCCCCCAGGCTGTCATGGGTCTTGCTGGCTTCCCGCCATCCACAGCCCTCTGCATGAGCATCCCCAACTTACCAGTTTGTTGTCAGTTTCCTGTTTGCGGTGCCTTTCACTGCTCAGCCATCCCTGCAGTTGAACTGCTCTGCTTATCTCCAATACCCTGAGGGCAAATGTGTGATCCCTGACTCTGCCTTTTATGCACAGTGGTAGCTGTATTTACCCTGATCCTTCTCCGGTATGTAAACCCCCCACCACTGTGCCCAGGCTCTCTCCCTTACCGGCATCCCGGGTATTACTTGGTAACAGGGCTTCAGCTCAAGCCCCTATTACAGACAGCTACATTAAACTTTTTGTAGTGGTCTCCCTATTACTATGCTGACATTCTTCCTCACTGCACTGTAGACACACCCATTCTCCAAACACAAAAAGGAGCTTCAGAAAAAAGTATAAATTCTGCTTCAAAGCATTGTAAAAAAAGAAATAGTTGAAAACCATATTAACAAAAAGGCTTATAATTTCTGCTCTGCTCTTTTCTTCTGGTTCTTGTTAAGTTTCTCAGGCACATGATACAAACAAGAGATTGTCAGATCTGTATTTGCACACAGTGTTTTGTTAATGTGGAAGTGATTGTTCTTAATGAGGAGGCAACGGTGCTTCCATGATTGCAGGGGTTTCCTTGGCAGTGAAGAGATCTGGATTTGTGAGGACAGTAGCAAGTGCCATTCCATTCTTGGATGGCAGCTTTTGTCTCTGGGGAGGGCAGGAGACTTTTATGGTAGTGACCTTGTGGGGAGTGAAGGATCTGCAGCTATGTCTTTCTGTCCCTAGCACAACCATTTCTTTCTTATCTCATCAGATTCCTTCATAGAGCTGGGGGAATTAAGTGTGTGTTCGGGGGCTGAGATGTGTGAGTGGGGTTACCTCTTTCATTCTCCAGTTCTCTATAGAGGGTTTGGATGTAATGGGGAAGGAGACAGTAGAAATTCTTGTTTTGTTAGGACTCCTCTGCGTATCCTGGCAAGAGCTGAGACATTAGCAGGCATTACTGTTGTTCATGCTAGTTTTGAAGTTAGGTGATGGAGCAGAAGATAAACAGGGAAGCAGTAGGCACGAGCCTATTTGCAGTAATATTGTTTGTGGATCTGAAAGAAAATACTTCACTTGGGTTCAAGAGCTTTGGGTTCTATTCCTGGCTCTGCCATTGGTGTGCTGGATGGCCTTGGACAAGTCTCTTTGCCTCAGTTTTATCATATGTAAAATAGAGATAATGACCTGATCTCCTTTATGAAATCTGAAATGTGCAGATGAAAAATGTTGTAGGAAAACACTGTTGTCATTTTAAAACAGTGCAATCAAGTTGATAGTCCATTACAAGTGAACAATTCATGTTGTCCTAAGGTCATGTGAATATTTTTCCTTGTAAAAGTAAAGTAGTAGATTTAAAGAATTGAAATATTGGTATAATGATGGAATATTGTAGGTTTCTTGTAATTGTGTATATAAACAAAATAGCAGCATAATTTATGTTATTACTTCTGCAGGTGTCAAGCTGTAGGCATTGCACTTCTGTTTGGATAAACTAGTCAAAGCTGGTGGTTCCAAGTGTTACAAATACATAGTGATGGCTGAAAAATAATCTGAAGGGAGAATGCTTCATGGCTGTTTAAGTGTTATTTGTGTGAAGAGCATTTGTAAGGCTTCATGCTGTTTTGATGTATGTAGTAATCAGCTTTTCCACTGAGGTCCATTTGCAAGGCTGTTTGTGGAATGCTGTTTTTCTAGTTTAGTTGCATTAGGGACATAGTCTCACCTGTTATAGCAATTTCTAGTTATCCGGATAGTCCAATTGAGTGACTCCAGTAGGAGCTACTACCTGTTGCTTTAGAAAAAGGTTGACGAAAAACCCAAATGTTAAGTATGGCATAATCTGCCCATTGGAAAAGTCTTTCCTGAGTAGTTACATGAAACAGGATATTTGAATAGTTCATACTGTTATTCCCAATGCATATACCTTGAATAGGTCGACACTTTTTTTTCTACTGGTAAATTCCATTCACGTAATTTCTGCTTCTCTGAAACTCCTCACTCCCTTTCAGTGTTGACTGTTTTTTGTCATCTGCAGATGTTGCTGTGTCATTGTTCCTTCCCTTTCAAATCATACCAAAGATACATTACCCAACCTTGGCCTTAAATACAGCACCTGGTAACACCCCACTTTTTAAACTTTTTGCCAGGATAAATATTGGCCCTTTTCCATGTTCAGTACTTAGATAGAAAACAGGAATGGATCATAAACTGGCTTTTATTGGTCCTTTAGAGTTTTTAATACCCTCCAGCTGTTTGTCACAAAGGTTCCACTGAGCCAGTGAGATACCCTTGTGGAAACTTGGGGTTCTTGAATTTTGCATAAATCAATCTTGCACTAGGCTGTTCTAGGGGGCTGAAGGGATACCACTGCTTTTCCTTACACTGACCGCACCCAAGTGGTATCATTCCATTTCAGTCAGGCTAAATCCCTATCTCCTTTGAAAGCAAGTGTTGGGGGAATAAAATGTCATTTCTTTCTAATAGAAATATGGCTTTAACCGTGTGTGTATGTGTAGAGAGAATCCCCAAGCAGGCATTTTGCCCTTAAATTATGTCCAGTGAAGACTATTACAGTCAGAATACAATATCTTAGATGCTGGTTTTGGAGGAGTAGTTGCTAAAGGTAATGTTCCCATAATACAAAAAATATTAATGGTGAGACCTTTTCTTGCTACTGACTTATTAAAATATTTAAATAGAAGTCAAATAACTAGTATTGCATGATACTGGGTTCAAACGAATATGTATACCTATTACTGGATATATTGAAATCATCTGAAAGATTTGATGAAAAAACTAATCTGCATCAAAGGAAAAAAAGTGTATATCAAGGTAGTGTTTATCTAATACGATAGTATACAAGATTTCACAAAACGCGCATGTTTTTTGTTTGTTGTACAGGTTTCTGCATGTTTGTACTGAGTTTAGTGAAGAGACAATATCGTCTACAGTTTTACATGGTTTGTATTAACCACTTTTATATATTCACTCATCTTATTATTGAAACCATAAGTAATGTTAAAATATCTGTCTTGTCATTATTCAGAAGCTAAAAAATATTTAAAATTAGCTAGTAAGTTCATTGTAATAAAATGGGTTTCTAAATGTCAGGTTTTGTAGATATGGGTATTTCTAGCTCTTAACTTAATTAGTGTGTCACAATGTGGCCTCAGAATGACTACATACCTATAATTTGTGGGATTTTGTGGATACAAAATTTGTTTTCTTTTTAGTGACAGTTTTAAAAAATAATTTGCAAAATGGTACGTGTTTATTTTTGGCTTCTAAGTCTGAGAATATTTGGGATAGTGTGAAAGGTAAACCTTGCCACTCAAACAAGAACCTTCCACAGTGGCCTTTTTTATATTGTTAGAATGTAATTGTGCAGTGAAAGAAGTTTATCATGTCTTTGACTAGTGATTTATCAGTTAAAGGAGTGCTATGGTCTGCTGTAGATTGTCACTTAAAAAAACTAAACTAAAAAACAACACCACACTTGAATCAGTATTCTTTCTATCTCATATTCAACACAGTGTGCATCTAAAATTTCCCTATTATAAAACCTCTTTAGAAACAGCAGTGATAGAATCCTAAACCCTGTCTTTGAGGCACCGTCTCTGTCATTTGAGTCCAGGCAAAAGTTGTTTAAATCTCTAGGCTTGCATTCAGCAACTCTGGTCACCTGACACATTATTACTGCCACTAGTACAATCTTAACATTGTGGAGATCAGCTTGTTTACCAGGACACGATTGAGCTTACTTCTGTTCAAAAGTGGAATAAAAAGATGGTCTCTACCGAATGGGCGTATCTGCAGACAGTGTACACATATATTAATTTCACTTTTTCCCTGGGGAAGAAGGACTGTGAAGGTTGCCAGTCATAACAGCCTTCTGAAAGCTGCCTAGGTTTTACAGTGATGAGAAAAATATGAACATGTCTGCACCGTGACATCAGTGTGCCCTGGCTGGGACAGTCCCAAGCATGTTCCACATGCACACACAGAAATATATTGGTGAAGTGCTGTACGGCGGGGGTGTCAAAGGTGTGGCCTACCAGCCAGATACAGTCCATGGAGCCCCATCATCTGGCCTCTGGTGGTGGCCCTATGTCTACAGTTGACCCACATGGTGCCTGCTTCAGCTGATCTGGGACCCGTGCTGCATAAGGTGTACCTACCTCCCCCACCACTGTCTCTCTCCCCGCATGGTGACTTCTCCAGGGTGACTATGTGTAGAATGAATCCTGGACAGGCCAGAGAGAACACCAAGTGAAGCTTGCATCTTGGACAGGCCCTGCAGAGGTGCCACATGTGGCTGAGTCTCAAAGCAGGTGGAGTAAGTACCATATGCCCTAGATCTAGCAAGCAGGGTTGAGGGGAGAGAAGATGGGGTTGTTCCATGGACCTGATCCAGCCTTTGGGGTCAGCCTTTGGGCTCAGCAAACATCATTCATCCAGCCCATGGACCAGGCCTACACCACTCATCTAGCCCACAAGGCCAAATTAGTTTGATACCCCTGCTGTAGAGCAGTGATTCTCAACTGGCATGCTGTAAGATCCCTTAAAGGGTGTTGTAGGGTCCTGCACAATAAGAGGATGGTTAGGTGTGCAAACCTTCACACCATACCTTCACAAGGTAAACCCAGAGATTTCAAATAGGAAACTATAGTGTCAAAAACTTCCTGGCCTGTTGTGGCTTTTCTGACTTTTTTAAACAGAAAAAACAGCTCTATTATCTTTCCATAGTCAGGAAAAAAACCCAAGTGAAAGCTAAGAGCTGTCATTTTTGGAGGGGTGCCTTCAGTCTAAAAAAGCTGAGAACCACAGCTTTAGGGTTGTTCTTAGAGGCATGCTATTAAGCATGCTAGAAATCAGGGTCTCAAGAATGGCCATTTAAGGACACCCTACAGTGTTTGCAATAGCAAGTTTTTGTGTTTAGAGCAGGGATGGGCAATTATTTTCCCTGGAGAGTCACTTAGGGAGTTTTGGTGAGCTATTGTGAGCTGGATCAGCATACTCCTCCCACCCCTGCCTCCTCCCCCCAGCCCACAACAGCTCACCAAAACTCCTTAAGTGGCTCTGCCCTGGGGCTTGGACCCGCACTATCACTGTCCAGTGATCCCAGCTCCAAGGTCTTCATGGAGACCAGCCCAGAAACCCTGCTTGGCTAGGTGGATGGGATGGGGCTGCGGGTGAGCAGGGAATGGTGTCTGAGAGTATGATGGGTAGGACCGGGGCCAGGAGCATAGGGTGGTGACAGCATGGGGCCATGGTCTGGGGCAGAGCTGTGATCCATCCTCCAACATGCCCCTACCCATGGAACCAGCACTTGTCGCACAGACGTGTGGGCAGCAGATTGTGGCTCTGCCCCGAGTCCTGGCCCTGTGCTGTCACTGCCCCATGATTCTGGCCCCAGTGCAGCCCACTCATCCCATTCCTGGATGCTGCTTCCTGCCAGCCTGCAGCCCCATCCTATCTGCCCAGCCAAGTGTGCACGTGTCCTCGACCAGTCTCAGTGGAGACCCTGTCTGTCTGCCCACTCTGTCCAGTGTCCCTAATAGTGGGTGTGGGGCAGACGGACCAGGGTCTGGTGCCAGTGGTGACACTGGCAGCAGCAGCTAGAAGGAGCTGCCACTTCTGGGAAGCAGAGCCTGGCTGCTGTGCTACGCTGCCCTAACCCCAGTGCCCGTGGGGGTGGCGGGACTGGCCATGCACACCACGGCCCAGACTGCCTCCTGCACCAGGACTGGGTGGGGCCGAGGGACCTTCTACAAGCTGGATAAAATCCCTTTGTGGGCTGGATTCATCCTGTGGGGCTGTATTTTGCCCACCTCAGGTTTAAACTGAGCAGGAGGATGTGACCAGAAGGAGGTTTGGGAGTGTGCTGCTGCCATGGAGTAAACACGCCAGTGAAAACTTGAACAGCATGGAATGAGCAATGCAGAATTCCTTTGTTGGCAGGGAGCAGTCTCACTGAAGGAGTGGATATTTGCTCTTGAGCCTTTTCCAACAACTACAATAGCAGCAGTAAAAATTCTAGATGCCAAAGGGCATCTTGCTCACAGATTATCTTTTCAGTAGGCCCAGTTACTTTGAACCACGCAACCTCTCCCCCACCTTGAAACTTGAGCCCTTTGATTGGAGGTAAATGTTTGCTCTTAGAAAATGGAAAGCAATGTCTGGTAGGCAAATGGAAGGAAATCACCAGTTTATAAATGCTAAATAATATTTTTAGTCCAGGTCTCTAGAGTCCATAACACTAAAATTGCTTATCAGAAACATGAGCAACTCTTGATTACTAAAAGGTTTTGATGAATGAAAAGCTATAAAACTCTAGCTGTTGATATATACTGTCTTGAAACCTCTGCCTGCATCATATGTACTGACACAACAAAATACTTTTAAAATACAATGTACTAATGCATATATACTAATGGAAAAGGATTATATACTCAACAGAGTGACTTTATACAGTATAAGATAACAAATTCTTATTCTTACTATTCCTACCATTAGAAACCTGAAATCTCAATATTTAATAAGAGGGCTTTGTCATGGCAGATTTCCATATCTCTGTAACATGATTCTTTCATGAACTCTTCAGTGCCATTTTAATGTTATATTTCTAACTTGTCTATCGTATGTAGAAACAGAGTATCACAGTGGCTACCATTTTTCTGTTTTTTCATATTCATGTTGTCTTTATAGATTAAGTGTTTAACATGCAAAAATCTAGATCGGGGTTGGCAGCCTATAACCCAAGGCTGGATGTGGCCCATGAAGATGTTGGATTTGGCCTGGGAAAGTCTGACCTAGCATGGGGAATCAGGCACAGCACAACTGTGCTGAGCCACTTTGTCCCCTCCACAGCACCCTTCTCCACAGTCCTTCCTGTTGCTGTCTCATACCTGTACTTAGCTTTCTTGCAGAGGGGCTTGCTATCTACAGGGAGGGTAAGCTCAGGTGGTTTGAACTCTTGGGCTCGGAGGAAGAAGTATGGAGATTTTCAGCCCATGGACTGGGTCACAAACTCTAGCCCTCAGTAGCAAAAGTTTGCCAACCTCTATCCAAGATGAATGCTGTAGATAAATTTTAAAAAAATGTTCCTCATGTATCATTTTTTTCAGAAATGTAGCTAACTCATGATATATATTATACGCACACACATCTTTTTCATTATCAGTAAAACTGGTCTTTCCTTTGAGCTCCTCTTCATCTCCTTCATTTGAAATATCAGTATATACCTAGATGTTTTGATCTGTGTTTTCACTAATTGTTGTGTTGTTTCACTGTTAACAGTTCGCATGGACTCATGTCACTTTGCTGATCACTGTAACTCAATCTCATCTTGTCATCCAAAATCTGTTTGAAGGCATGATCTGGTAAGGGGACAGTAATAAACTGGTTTGTAATTTTATTGCATATATATATTTTTAAGCACATGAATAATACCACCCTTTTGCAGCAAATTATTTAAATATATGCTTTGGGTTTAAAGTTATGCACATGCATGTAATTTGCTAAATATGAATGGAATGTCTTGCATGTTTATTTAACGAAACATGTGCCTAGGTACTTTTCTTAACTAAGATCTAAATAAGTAAATAAGTATTCTGAGTTTCAAAATGGCTGAACACTCTGTGAACTAATTGGGAGCTGCTTACAAATCTCTTAGCACTTGTAAATCAGGCTACTTAGGAATTTAGGAGTGGATTAAGGAGTCTAATTTTAGGCACCCTTTTGTGGAAGCAAATCACTCATCTAATTATTAAAAATAGTCCTCTCTGAGTAATCATTCTTTCCCTAACCTTCTGGAACCAGACCTATTGTGCCAGAATTCTTTCTGAATAAAATAGTTATTTTTAAGGGTCCAACAAAGATAATTTTATCACACTTCATCCAAAGAAATTCAACTAAAATAAACAAAAAGCAACGGTTTGGCTGTATTTCCTTTTTTTGATAGACAATGGTTATCTGAACAAATCAAAATTTATAGTAGATGATGTTCTTTAGTAACACTTTAACTACTTAATTTCCTACATAAATAGTTCAGATGTTTTAGAGCAGGAGTTGGCAACTTCTTACAAATGGTAGGCTGCTGCTTGTGACCCAGCCAACACTGGTCTGGGTTCTGGTGCAATTAAAGGGAATACAGTTAGTTACAAAGCAGACATCTTTTAAAAGTAGCTTGAAACTGGATGGGTTACCTTGAGGATCAAATATGTAAGAATTCACTTCTAGTTGTATATTAAGCTGTTACAATACACTTGAAGTGACACCACTGGGGTAAAACTGCATGTTAATATCCTTTTTCTTTACTGACTGTAGAGGGAATTTTGGACTATTATTTATTGAGAAATACTGAGTGAGCACCCAGGAGTTTATTATACACATTGTTCAAAGTGTACAGCTTTGCCCGGATTGCTTTTTTCTCTCATGGTGCATGTGAAGTTGTATATTAATTAATATTCAACTACAATTGCTGAACTTGTTGGATACAGGAGCCCAACAAATCCTCTGCTATGTTTGAAAAGTGTATGAACCCATATTTTTTCTTAGTAAGCCTGGTGCTTAAAGTTAAGTGTCAAAAAGTTAAGTCTAGTTTTGCATGTTTATAGTTTTGTTGTTGAGTTTCAACAGCTACTGAAAAAGCTGTTTTATGTCTGTCTACAGACGTACGCTGCATTTTATCAACATTTGAAGTTTAGAAAGACAAAAAGGGAGGCTAGGGCTATGTCTTTATGGTAAACATTCTGACCTCAGTTGTGCCACACTTGAGCAAACTGGGCTGTTTCAGCATGGCACCCTGGATGAGATAATTATCACCTCTGAATGATAATGCCAGTTTATCTGACCACCAGGTAATTAACCTGGCTGTGCCAATGTGGTCATGCTGCTTTTAGTGTAGAAAGCAGCCTGCCTGGGGCAGTGAAAAGTACTTGAGGGTGATACTGCTGAGGATAGGAAGTTTACTATATAGACAGAGCCTAATAGACCTGCAGAATAAAGGGAGAGAAGGACACTAATCTGAGAATGTAATAACTATCATAACCTACTAGCCCTGTAGAAAGGAAAGAAGGAGGCTTTTCATTTTTTTAGATTTCATTAGATGTATAACAAGACATGTGTTTGCCTTGATGTGACTAAGTACCATTAATTATTATGCTTTTGTGTTAACTGTAGTACTGACCTGGTTTTATATTATAAAAAGTAATTCTACTTATATGCAAGCTTGATGCCCAAGCATTTAGATCTTTGTTGGATAGAAGCTATAAATGATGCAACTGAATGTTGCAAAATTGACTAGATGGGTATAAGAAGAAACCAACTATGTACTGTTAGTGCTTAAATAATACAAAAGAAATGCTATCATCATGTAGTTTTAAGTGACTAATATTCTTGTGTTTTCCTTAAGTTTTATTTCAGCATTTTTCCTGAAGAGTTTCTATATTTCTTTCTAGGTTTCTGGTACCAATCTCAAGTGTTATCTGCAATGATATTACTGCTTACATTTTTGGCTTCTTCTTTGGGAGAACTCCATTAATTAAGGTGTTGATATATATAATTCTCTATGAGCTATTTTTTACAATTTTTAAACAAGTAGCTGATACTGTCCCAGAGTTACTTTTATGGTATATTTATAGCAACTGTATCTTGTTTTCACACACACATTACAAGCTATACTGATACATTATTTTGTTTGTTTTGCTATCTGCAAGATCCTATAAAAAGTATTGATCTATATTCGTAATAGTGACTGTGAACTTATAATGTTAACATCTTGAAAAGCTAATGGGTCCACGCAGCTTTTATATGTCTTCCAAATTGTGCATTGTGAATGAATTAGGTAATTTAACACAGCTATATTAAGAGAGGAATTTTATTCAAAATATTGGGGATGCATAGTCCAACATTATGCCTTATGGCAAATTTGCTGTATGCCAAGATCAGACAGGCATAGGTTTCCCCAGAGTCTTGACTTTGGCAAAGTACCAATAAGTTATGCCTTTCTTTGTAAATTTTCTAAATCTTCTGATACAGACTGCTGCCAAGGGTAGCATATTGTAGCATATATGGAATAATTGGCCCATTTGGGACATGGCAAGTACTATGTTCCTACATTGCCAAACTCTTAGTTACAATTAATATAACATAGGATGAGAGACTTCTGCTTTTTGCAGACCTGTGAAATCTAACATTATGCCTCACAAGTTAACTGAAACCTTCACTGATACTGTTTTGAGTCATATTACTATATTTACTTGATTCTAAGATTAGTTCTCCCCCCTCCCCCATTTAATATGGGGGGGAAAGCCCCTCATCTTGAAATGGAGTATGCGGTGTTTGGGGGCAGGCAGCAGCTGCAACTCTGGCTCCAGCCCCAACCCAGGTTTGGGGGTGCAGAAGTGGCATGGAGGAGGAACAAGGGAGGGCAGGAGAAAGGGACACAGGGGCCTGAAGCTGCAGGGATCAGAAACATGGGTGGTTAAGTGGGGTGGGTGGGGAGACAGGTGGCAGGGGGTAGGCTGCCTGCCTCCCTTACTGTTTGCCCTACCAGCTGTATACTTCCTGCCCCCTACCATTTGTCCCACTACTGCCTGTCACTGTCTCCACTGCCTACCCCCTTATTTCCTTTCTCACTGCCTGCCCCATTACTGCCTCCCCCACTGCTTGTCCTACTCTGTGCCCCTCCCACTGTCTCCCCCACAACCCATCCCATTACTGTCCCCATCATCGCCTGTCCCCCCTGTCACAACCCAAAGTTGTGGTTTTTTGTTTTTGTGTGCTTCGGCACCGCTAAATTATGTTCCCGCCAAATTGCAGCTTCTTTACACGGTAGAGTTTTCTTTTGCAATAGGAAAACCTGCGTGCAAAAGAGTATTTCCCGCTGTTTATAGCCTTCTTTGCATGGTGCATTTCTTTTGCATCATAGTGATGCACGGTGCAAAGGAGTTCCCGCCATTTGTATTGAGATTCGCGCCACATTATTGGCTGATCTTAATATAGGCACACGTGGCGGCTAGCGATTGGCTTGCTAGCCGTATAAAGAGCTTGGGTAGTTTCCGCCCAAGTTGGAGAGAGAGAGAGAGAAAGCAATTAGAGTTCGGGAGAAGGAGCGTGAAGATTTCTAAGCGCTGCTAATCCCTTCGAACCCAGCTTTTTTCTTTCTCCTTAAGAGGGCAATAGAAGGCCAATTTACCGAACCCACGGAGTCTTAACAACTCCGGGGGACCTATTTACTGAACCCACGGAGCTTCAACCACTCTGGGG